AGATTAAACATAAGACTTGTTCCTTATCTTTATTAAATTCCCTTAACACTAATAACTTTCTAGATCTTACAAACCATTTTTATATACTTTAATAATTATTAATTGAATAAGCATATTATAACATACATACATACATAAACACTCACGCCTGCCACCCAGAGGGGTAGGCAGAGACTACAGACTTCCATTAGGCACGATCCTGACACACTTCTCTCGCATCCTTCACATCCATACACCTACGCATACATGCTCGTCGGTTAAGGGTACTCCTAATTTGTCGCCAATCGCCAATTTGGTCGATAAATTTTCGCCTAGGTCGTCCCTTTCCGACTCTGCCATGAATGGCAGAGTCGCAAAGCAAATTTATGTTGCAGAAGTGAACTTCTGCAACATAAATTTGCTTTGTCACTCTTTCCTCATTCATTCTTTCCATATGATCTAACCACCGAAGCATTCCTTTCATAATCCTGGTCACAACATCATCTTGCAAACCACACTCTTCTCTTATTACACAATTTCTTACCCTGTCATTCAGATTCAGCCCCAACATACTCCTTAACGACCGCATTTCTACTGCGTTCATTCTACTCTCGTGCTTCTTCTGCCACACCCAACTTTCACTACCATACGTTAAAGTAGGGACCAACATAGCATTGTGAATTGCCATACGTGCCTTTTTCGACACATTTTGACTCTTCACAATAGAGTGTAGGGTCCCATTTATTCTATTTCCTGCATTCACTCGTCGTTCTATATCCTTATCACATCTCCCATTCCTGCTAAATATCATATTATAATATGATATATTATATATATCATATTATAACAAAGAGGGAATTTTAAATATTAGCTTCACTTGTTCTTGCAAGACCCTTGGTTGAATTGAATTTTTAAAACCTTACTCTACTAAATCGTGGATAAACATTGTTCTATAAAAAAATAAGCCTGAGCAAATAAAATATCCATCGTTACAATTTATCGTGAATACCTGTATCAACATCAAGTCCGTTGAGAGTAAAGAAATTGTTTACTTTCGTTTTTTTTTTTTTAATACTTTCATTATTCCGCCCAGCCAATAATTTATAAAAATTAACAATAAAATAAAACGTCCCATATACAAGCTGTTCTTGCACAAACAGTGTTTCTATATATTTTTATTAGTTACATAAATAATGACAGTGGCACACTGACGTGGCAATGGGGTGGTCATATAGTTCGAAGAACCGACAACCGGTGGTAAAGAAAGGTTCTCGAGTGGCAGCCTCGTACCGGTAGTTAAAGTGTGGGACGGTTGCTCACTAGATGGAGTGACGACCTGATAAGACATGCAGGAAGTCGAGGGCACAGGTGCCTCAGGACCGTGTTTTGTAGTATTACTTGGTGGAGGCTGTAATGATGATGATGATGACACGAATAATTGCAAAATGTAACTCAAGTGAACGGGTTAAGGAGAAAAAAATGTGAATATTCTAATATCAAGTCATTTCTTCAGTGCGGGATTCATACCCACAGACCAAAACCTTAGCCACGCCTTACTACGTTGCCTAGCCGTTTAATCCTAAGTGAAAAACTAGAATCAAGTGCAACAGTTGCGCGTGACGTGTTTTTTAGGGTTCTCTTCCCAAAGGGGAATCAACGGACCCTATTAGTAAGCCTCCGCTATCCATCCGTCCGTCTGTCTGTCAGCAGGCTGTATTTCGTAGTTCGTAATAGTTAAGCAGTTGAAATAAATTAAAAATTAAAGGGGGCTCTCCTACTAGAAATGTGTTTTACGATGATACGGAACCCTTCATGTGCGAGTCCGATTCGCATTTGGCCGATTTTTTTTAATAGTATTGGGGGCAAACGAACATGCTGCTCACCTGATGGTGACTACCGTCGCCCATGAATAATTGCAACATCAAGGGAATTGCAGGTGCGTTGCCGGTTTTTATAATAGCATTATATTCAGCGTGCCTCAACATCTTGCCTTTCATGCCAGAGGTATTTGTATCTCACACAGACGGTCTTACGATCAGCGACTGGCCAAGTTCGAAATGATGCTCTGCGAAGTAGACGAGACATCATAGATCTGTGTTGTCTGCATAAAACAGTGCACACAAAAGTAAAGTGCGCTGAACTTCTTGATGCTACATCGTTAGCTGTTCCGCGTGAATATCCCCGTCACCGCATTTTAAAAACATTTTATGTCCCTTTCGCGAAAACTCATCTCGAGAATCACGCTCCTATCGTGCGTATATGTAGCAAATGGTTTGAGACAATTTTTTACTGTCTAAAATCATGCCTAGCATCGACATATTTCACAACTCTTTATATTGCTTTCAAAATTAAACTTACTAATCATTTATCATCGAGTTCCTGATAAAAATAATATTTTGAATAAAATTTATTTTACACTTTAATAAAAAAAACAAAGGCCTTTTGCGTTTGACCATACCCTATGTTCAAACAACAATAATTCTTAAAGTAATAAACATACAGCTGTAAACTTTATGTTTTATTGTAGCTTAACTCAAAATCTGTCGATCTAGTAAAAAAATAAAAAGGATAAACGGGGTTGTTTTTGCAGTAATTTACAGTAATTTGCCGATTAGCATAATTTTTTGATATTTATTTGAAGTAACTTTTTTTTCTTTAAAGATGCGAGTATGTGAACAATTTTTTTTAGTAACGGAAACGATAGACAATATTGTTGTCCTTTGAATGAGCTAATTTTTATCTCAGTAAGACCAAAACCTTGAGAGATATGAATATTTTTGTAAACACGTAGAGAATATCTCAAGAAGAAAACAAAATGGCTGCCACATAGAGGGGGAGGGGATTATACCTCAGTGTGTAGTGTATTTTTGTATTAAAATAACTGAATTATAAGTACCTAGAATATCGCTAGTCCGTGACCGGACACACTGTATATAAATTACCTACCTATATGTGTGTACCTAATAATTTATTGAATAATTCCTCATTGTATTGTATTAATAGAATGTTATTCCTATTCAAAATTAATTCAAAATTAATCCAAAATTAAGTTGCATGGCTCAATTTGTGAATGTTACGTACACTTGTTATTGATATGTATATCAGAGTCAATAATTGATATTAGACTATTAACCATTTCACTCATATACCAACATTTCAATTGTTTAACTAAAGTGTCTTTGGTCTTTGGCGAAGTTGTTAATTTCACTTTCAATGTCGTCATCATAATTATTACTGTTATAATTTACGCTGCATATCGGCAAATAAGGATATTTGGTGATTTATACAATTTGGAAAGTCATTTTATATGAATGATAAAAAGTAGGGGACCAAGAATACCACCCAGAGGAACTCTGTATTTAATCAATTGTGTACGGAAGAGTATATTTATTCTGGTATTCTACATGATGTCTATTATATCAGAAAGTATAAAAATGTGTATATTTTTGTGATATGAATGTGTGTGTTATACATGTACAAAAGTGTGCTTGTTTAAAAAATAAAACTGTATTAAGTTTGAATCGCTTGCATCTTGTGTGCAGTGCGCCCTCTTTGCTTACACAGATAATATAACATCATATAGATTTTCATATTTATGTAGCGGTAAGAGTGACGAACGGGCACAGAGTTTACCTGATGCTAAGTGCCTCGTTATCATAGTAAAAGAGTCTCCAGTTCTCTATTCTTACCATGCGAAACAGTAGCATTAAGCTGCTATTACACGCTGCTGTTATGTGAGAACGTGACGTAGTTGGAGCGACTGCTCTATCTATCTAAACTATCGCGGTCGATCCAACCCATTCCAGCTACAGCCATTATACACTGCATCGCAGCTGTACCACGTGAAAATCAATTAAAAATAGTGCCTATTTTCACATCGGGCAAGTAGCAACCTTAGTCGATGGCGCATGGGTCGTAAGGTTTATTGTTAAAATTTATCGCAGTATCGGCATACTGAACAGTCGAACCTTCATAAAAGTATCTTCAACGCACACAGTTTAACGCAGCGCCGGTAGTAATAAATATCGCGTTATTTATTCTGTGTGCTACTGTAGGTGAACCACACACTTATGTGCGTGGGTTGCAAAACGCCCGTATGAAGCGTCCGCATTATAATTTACATGCCCGCGTTGGCAGTACTAAACATCGTGTTGCTTCTTATGTGATCTATTGTAGGTGAGCCCCTCGCTTGTGTGCGTTGCGAGACGTAGGTGCAGTGTCCGTAGTCTCGTACACTGTGGTATCGACGAGTTGCGGCGGTATTATGTCCTCAAAACCGAATTTCTGTCATGGCGGCCTGTCTCAACGGAAACTAGCCATCTGCGCGGGACTGGATACTATCCCAGGTGTATACGCAAGTACAGGTGCACTCTCTATTCCCCTACTCTCATAGTTCGAAGGAGAGGTAATCCAACACGGCCGGAAAGGGATCAGAGGCAAGACCTACGGCTTTACGTTCTTTTCGACTAGATATCCTAAAAATTTAAAAAGGAGTTAAAAAAAGTGAAATATATTAAGGATCACACCACTGAGGCACTGTTTTAGTACATATAATACTTTAGAAATCGATTTTTTTTTTGTAACCGCTAAGACACTTTAGTCGTCAGAACCCCCGATGAGTATTGTAGGGTGTAACTCAATGTTACTGTGAGCCTGCTCGATAACCCTATCAACTAAACTCTGACATCCCGTCTCTGTTCGTCTGTTATCTTAGATCTCATGGTGCAGACATTCCGTACTTATCTAATTTATTTATGCATAATTAATTTATATGGCAGGGTTAGTAGAGTATGTTGAGGACTGTTAGGTAAAGGGAAATTAGATAGAGTATGTAGGGTCTAATAATTCTGTCATATTTATGAGCAACCATGAGTCGAACTATTGCTAAAAATCAGGTTAATATTTAAATAAGCATGATAAAGACATTGTTTAACAAAAAGCTTCACCTCTGTCCCCACTAGCGACATCTGGTGAACGAAATATTATTAGTCCACATTAACAGCTGTCACTTTTATCAAGGTTTAAATACGTGGCGGTTGCGCGCACTGACTTGCAGCAGCACGGTGTGCACGCGGCAGGCTCACACGGCGCCGTTCCTGCGCGAGCACGGCGCGCCAAGCCACGCGCACGCACCGCCCTGCTGCATCGCGCACGTGCTGCACACGCGTCACCTGCAGCCGCACACTGACCTGCAGCAGCACGGTGTGCACGCGGCAGGCACACACGGCACCGTTCCTGCGCGAGCACGGCGCGCCAGCCACGCGCAGACCGCCCTGGGAGTGTGCCAGGGGGGGTTGGGGGGGGGCCTGCAGCAGCACGGTGTGCACGCGGCAGGCACACACGGCGCCGTTCCTGCGCGAGCACGGCGCGCCCAGCCACGCGCACGCGCCGCCCCGCTGCATCGCGCACGCGCGCGCACATGCCGCACCCCGCACCCCGACGAGCCTCACTCACGCACCACGGTTCGCCACTTTAACGTACCGCACAACTCACAAATCTATATTTAATATCAATTATTGCCCTGGTACCACACTTTGCTTGATGGTAATAGTGTCACATGCATGAAGAAAACCATTGCAGTATTAAATTCCGTGGACGTTGAAAACTCTTCATAAAGTTCGCCACTTCAACGTTATTGCCGTAAAACTAACAACAACCGGCTATACATATATCAATAGTTGATACCAAATATCTATCAATTTTGCTTGGTTTGATGGTAATAATGTCACATATTATGTGTAGAAAACTGCAAACATCTTAATCCTAGCAATTTGACTTATTTTGTAAGTAATTTGCAGTAAGAAATAAAATATATACACCGTCAATTTTTATAAATCAATAATACTTCAATAATCATCATTTAAGTCTAGATCGTCTAATCTTGTATATACCGTATTATATTTTTTTTTATCTATATTTAATACCTAATATCGACTAACTTTGCTTTGTTTCGTAATAATGTCGTATATGTGAAGAGAACTATTCAAGTATACTCAATTCTGTGAACGTTAATACACAACATCAAATAACAAGACATCTTCATAAAGTTCACCTCTTTACTTAACGCTTTTCCGCACAACTGACGCCTACTGTTAATATATCTATTTTTTGCTTTGTTTGATGGTAATATTGCCGCATAAGTGAAGAAAATTACACTATTAAATTCCGTGTACGTAGAAATACAAAAACAAAAAATAAAAAAATCTTCATAAAGCACAAGCCAAGATCTATTTCTCTAATGTAGAGTTTTGCAATTTCGTTAACAGCGGTAATAAAAAAAAGGAAATATAATACGGCTGCTCCATCATCGCTAATGCCCGCGAAATCCCCGACGGCTTCATAACTCTCCGCATGAAACGTCTCTCGATAAAATTAAACCAACGTCGGGACCGAAGTCCGATAATGGCTCTGACGGCGACGAGATAAGTCCATGTGGGCCCTTCCGATATATCGACAGGGGTTGCCCGAAGACATTGAACGTATGTTTCAGGCATGGATCCTTGTTGTATATAGCGTGATTTGTTACGAGCAGATAGAGCCCCCACTATTGTTCCACGCCTTGGTCTATTACAGATTATAATAATCTAAGACGTTATGTATCTAGTTAAGAAATTGTGTACTGAACTATTGCTTGCACAAAATAATCGAGTCAAAAGTAATGAGAAGCTAACAAAACATTTTACATTTGAAAAATTATAACTTATTTACATAATTTTATGGTATAGCGTCTAAACTAGGCCGAGCCTGTATTTTAAACATTAGTGAAATAAAGATATTTTTTATATAAAAATATAAATTTAGAATATATTCATTAATACCTTATTTGAGTAGTGATAACAAAATCCGTAAATTTAGTTTTATTCAACAAATTTAACTGTCAAGAAGTCTATTTTTGTCCTCCTTTGAAAATAGCACGACTCTAAGCCCCAGGGCACTCGCAGCTCGAGGATGCGCCTCGTAAACCATGCCAATTATCTAATACGTTCCCCTGGGTTGCATTTATTTCAGTACAACCGGCGCTAGTAAAGCATGATTTATATAAGCGACATAGCCCATATCGACTGGTATTGTTATTGATTAATGAAACAGAAATTCACTTTTCACATATGCAAGATAAGTGGCCTATTATGTACAAGACTCGAGCGTGAACGCAATACGTGTTTTATTTGTAGCACAGATAAAGTAATTGCCTTCAATTTATACGTCTCACTGCCGGCACGGGCCTCCTATTATTTATAAAAGGCATTTCGCATCAGGGATAAATAAATTCCATCTAGAATTCCAAATTGAAGCTATCAATGAAATTGTTAATTGCAAATTAAAGTTCTGATTTACCATGTACTCGGCAGTGAAGGAAAACATTGTTAAGAAACTGGCATGTTTGAGACATTAAAAAATATTTATACAGGTTAGAGCCGCGTTCAGCTATACTATGGTTTGTAGCACGAATGGGTTGGCTCGACCGGGGAAGGCCACAGAATATCAGCGTGGAATAGCAGCTCGGCGCTGCTGTGTTTTATATGGTGAGTGTAGAGAACAATAGACTTTTTTACTGGAAACGAGGCATTCTATCTTAGTCTCCTGTAGACAACGCATCTCTATTTCGATTCTTAATTGAGGATAGCTGTAGATATCTATGGGCCATATTATCTACTTACCATCAGGTGGACTGTATACTCCTTTTGTATACTCCGTTTGTTCTGTATTACCCTTATTCTATAAAAACATGTCATGTAAAAAGTGTTTACTTGTGTATTGCATTAATATTGGAGCAGGTTTTGACGACCTAGTGTCCTACTAATCAGATCACCGCGATACCACATCGGGGTCTGTTTGGTGATCCACCTACTTGATGGCATTTGGATGCCACGGCCCATAAATATCTACATCCATCCTCGAATAGGAGTCAAAGTCCACTTATGTCAAGTCTGAGGACATAGATCGAAAGCCTCGTTTCCTCATCTTACGAAACACAGCAGCATTATGCTGCTATTTCAAGCTGGTACTATGTGCGAACTGTCGAGGCTATTCTAAGTCTAAGGCTATTCTTACTGCAGCTTTAAAGCGCTGTGCGTAGCTTACTATTTTTACTAATGTTTTTTTTTATAGAACGAGTCCAGACATGAGACTTGCTCTAGACATGGGCAACATACTCTACCACGTACACATACTTATATATCATTGATACAGGATATCTTTGTGTGTGTGAGATTTTTAACATTATCATCCAGATTCCAGACACAGAAAATTTATTTATATACCAATCAAATACTGAAGCGTAGTAGTCAAAATACTTAGCTATTTATTTATTTATTATTTATTGTACACCAAAATACAGAAAAACGAGTAAAGTTCAATCTAAAGTAAATTACAGCAAACGGTCTTATCACTCTGAAAGTGATCTCTTCTAGACAACCTTTGCGTGGAGAACAGACGCAAACAATAGTTAAAATAGAGAGGGGTGTACAAAAAAATTATCAAAATACATGTAAATATAAATAAGTCCAAATGATATATAATATGATAAAGTAATTAAATGAAAAGAGTACGATAAATGAATAATTTATCTATGTATGGTTTGTAGGGCCATACATTTTCAAGAAGTAGTAGTAGTTAGTTGATGAGCACGTCAAAAGGAAAAGATCATCAAAGTTTAAAGGTTTATTAAACAGTAAAATAGTTATAGTGTTATTGTACATCTTTCCTTGAGTAGTTAGTGTTTAGTAGAACGGTTGTTGAAGTACTGCCGATTGTAAGATGGCAATAATATTGTGGCCGTGGTAGGAAAAGGGGAGATCTCCCGCCGGGCAAGGTGTTCTGCCCGGGGAGCGGCCAACACTCCTTCTGATAGTTCGGAGATGTTCTATATATACTGTTCATGATTCGGAATGTTGATCGTGCGATTTAGGCTTCGGTGTATTTCGCTTGTGGCGCGACGACAGCGCCGCTACGATATAAATAAATTAAACAAATACACGCGACGCGCGGCTGAAAGCAGGTTGCAGCGTTTGCTAAATAAAAATGTGTGGTGGAACCATAGCCATACACTCTAAAAGCGTTCGAAGTAATTAGTTAACAAGACTTTTGAAGAGATTTAACACGATGAATGTTTAGAGGTAAAGAGTTTTAAAAGCGCACAGCAGTGACAGTAAAGAATTGCTTAATCTGCCTTTATTCAAATGAGCATTAATTTCAAAAACATAAACTACTACGCTCATAAAAAACTAACTTTAACTTCAGAAGTGAAAGTTAATCGAAGTTAAAAGCAAACTTGAACCGAAAAATTACGTTTGCAAAGAGAAGGGTTGAACAAGGCAAAATTACTTAAACTACGAAAACTCACACAAAGTTGCCTCCTACAACGTGAAGCGAGGAATGAATGTTAAGTGCTATACTATAATACGAGTATTTATACGTAGTGGACCCATGCTGCTGCTATGTTAAGGACGTAGCACGAATGGGTCGGCTCGACCAGTGAAGGACTACGCTCTCATAGAATACCAGCAGTTTCATGCTGCTGTGTTTCGTATGGTGAGTGTAAAGAACTTTTTACTGGAAACGAGCACTCCATCTTAGTCGTCAGGGGTGGCAACGCACCTGCATTTCGATTCTCGTAAAAACTATTGGACAAACCAGAATAGGACATAGACTACATTTTTGTGTAAAAACATTTAGTCTATTCCAAATTACAGCCTTTTTAGTCCATGGTGTAATTAAAAATTGGTCAGTTTTCAATTAAACGCGAGTGGAGCCGCGGGTTAAAGCTAGTAATGCATAAAATAGAAAACAGAAAAACTGAGCAGTTAAATATTGACTCATCAATTACTCTTTGTTAAATAAGTAGCTTCCAAACACAGACAAACTGGTAACATCACTCAAGACATTAATTTCTCTTTTTTTGAGCGAACGGCTATAAAAAGACGGAACAGTTAATTAAAAATAAAGCACTTTGAAATCTGACTACTGGTAGCTTATTTAACAATAATAATTGGCGGTAAACCCAAGAATAATGTTTGAATTAATGCTTAAATTTTTTTTTAAATTAATTCTTAAACAATACATAACAATATTTAAAAACCGTGTATACGCACTGTGGCCTAAACGACTAGATGCAGATTTTAACATATTATGACGTGTCGTTAGATATCCGTAAGTTGCGGAAGGTGATATAATAAGGTATAATTTTGAATTTCTGTTTTCAGCAGACTTTTTTTACTCAGTCGATCTTTTGTTTCAATTACTATTTTTTACTGGCTTTTTTATAGAATAAGGGTGAGAAATGAGCACACGGTCCATCTGATGGTAAGTGGATGCTGTGACCCATAGACATCTACATTGATCCTCGATTAAGAATCAAAACGTAGATTCGTTGTCACCTCTGAGGACTAAGATAGAATGCTTC